CATTTTTCATCAACAAATTCTTATGAATCATACAATAAATTCCCATTCAAAATTAATGTTTATTACTTCCACAAATCTGTGTTATAAATATAATCATATATATTAACAATTTTCAATTCGGATGTTGATTTTCTGTTTGTTATTTTTGATTTAGGTAAAAAAATAATGTCATGACCCTATTCTTAATATTTTGCAATAAAAAATAATTTACAGCTTCACCTTTTAGATAAGAATAATTGCAGGAAAACCACATGAATAATCCGACAAAAATATAAAATAGAATTAAACAGTTTGACCAATCTGACCTTATTTATATTGCAAATGAAATCAGCATTCTAAAAAATGCTATCACATGTCTCCCGACTTGCCTATAAATACGAACATTTGGCAGCTTCAGTTCATATACATTTTCACTGGCAATGAAAGTACTTGTAAGTAGACCGATTCTGAAAGCGTTCGTCAATACTAATTTAGCATTTCTTGCAGATTTTTCTAGTTGTGGCCTTGGTAGCCGTCCATCTGGGGACTTGTGCTCCACCGGTTGACGAAGATGATTATGATTATGATTATACTCAGGAACACAGTAGCTTCGAAGACGATCTTACAGGAAATCTACGGTCCAGCAAAATGTCAATGGATGATGAAAGGAGGAACATTTTTACTGAAACAACCATCAGATCCAAGCCTACAATTAGTTTTAGATGAATATAACATTTTGCAATAAATGAAAAGAAAAAAAAAGAAAGAAAAAATCAATGTTAGAACCTTTTAACTCCTAAACCAAATCGGCTGGATCATTTCGAGTCTGGAATTCAGCTGAGCTCGGCATTTATACTCATGCGTAAACAAAAAATCATTTCTGTTTTAGTTCCCATTCCCACGCAATTGAGTTTATTGTTTCGCAGAGAAGGGCAAAAAGGGGGCGACTGAAGTAAGTAAACAAAAGCTCAGCGATCATCGACGCCTCAATGAAACGTTTTTTTTCTGCCAAGAAATTAGTATTCAGTTACCATACGGTCGACAGCAAGTTAAACAAACCTGAAAAATCCATGGACAGAGGCCGGATGCGGCTAAAGTAAAATAAAGTCAGACGCAAGGAGCCTTGGATCCAACTGGGATCTCGGATCTTGGATCAGCAATCGCCAATCATCATCTCTGGCCATATGCAAAATATGTTTATAAATAAACGACACTGTCAAAAATATATTGTGTCTCAAAAGGCAGCTCAAACTTAAAAATTAGTTGCGTTTTCTATAATGGTAATATTGGATTTATGTTATATTTCATTCTAGAAATATATATTGATCGCTTTTATTTTTGGTGCGAGCAACATGGAAGGTAACCATTTCCATTGTCAACAACTACCTTGGACTATTTTTCATACTTGCCAAAAATGATAATGAAATTTTTATCGGTGCAGCGAAACGAAAACGGTTCCGAATTCCAAGGCGAAATCATTAATGGGATGTCACCGGAGAGTGACAGGGCAGAGCACCCCTTTAATGGCAACTAGATGTCCTCAGCTGGGATTGGAATGGAATCAGTTCGTCTGGGACGGCACTGGGATTTCAATGGGGATCGGATCGTATTGGAGATTGGGGCTCGAGGAGCGGGCCTGAGTGACGGGTATTGGATTTCAACATGCAATGCACGCGGCGCGGCATGCGGCGGCATATCTGCAACGCCATCTCTCGGATACTTCGGATCCCCCTTATCCCCGATCCGCCTCCCATCATACCTATATGTAAAAGTACCCCCTCCTAAAAACCAACCAGTTGCTCCACCGCAAGTGCCCGCCCGCTGATTGACATGTGATCCTCATCTTCATCGCATCCTTCACAAGGTTTCTATGGCTTGCAAATATCTTCCCTCCTTTCTTCAGTTTTAAATACACTTTAAATGGGTATTTAAATAAATATATTGCTTACATTATCCGGAAAGAGCTTCTTTAGCTAAAGATCGCTTCTATCGACTTGTTCCTTAGTAAAAGAAAAGAAATAATGATTATATATATTACATATTTCAACGAAAAGTGTTATCTATTTACATAACATTATAAAACATTTGATTGAAACGCGGATATTAACGAATCAAAAAGACTTAGTAACTCCCGACTTAAAATTTGTTATTCAAATTACTCATACGACACGTATGCCAGTTCAAATTTTGTCCTTAAAAATCTAACTCCCATTTCGTACCTTAATTTCGTTTCAGTAATTTATAATATAAGAGAAATCAAAAATTAAATGTTTAATTAAAACCCACCCCACCTAGATTAAGTTTTTTTGATAGGCAACGGTACGTATGAGTGATAAATTTTAAGACCAAGCGCAGACCCTAAAACTTAAAAAAAGTGGTTTTCCTATATTCTATCTTAAAATCCTAAATTATCTATGTATTATCATTTAAATTATATTTTTCTCAAGACAAAGGGTATTTAAATTCTGTTCTTCCATATGTGGGTTTCTGCTTTTTTCAGATTTTATGCTGCTTTTAACCTGTTGTTGGTTCTTCGGCGGCGCTGCTCATTTGTCATTCAGGCGAAACACTCGCAAGTCGTAAAGTAAGCTCCGTTTCAGTTCCAGTCTCCTGAAATCTCCCCAAGAAGAGGGGAAATCTCATCTCAAGACGTCGTGGCCGCTGCAGTCATAAAATTATGATCGGTATTTTTTACCCTTGCGCTTCCCCCGAGAAATTTGAACTCTGCCGCTGTTTTGCCAGCATTTTTTCGTTATTTTCGACATGGAACATGGATTTCTGTTGTATTTCATGCAACACCTTGTCGCCCGATTTCCAGGAATATATCTCGGGACATTCCTGGACTGCGTTTCCACGGAAACTTGCAAATGGACCGCAGTAATTAAAGGCACGGGAGCCCAAGAAAAATAAATATAAGCTTTCTGTGTTCATTCATGTCTCTCATTCAGTTCAGCCTTATAAAAACCGAATGGAAACCAATTCAAATCCATTTCTAACGCAGACGATAACCAGAGACGTGTCGTTTTTCACAAACAACGACGCGCCTGCTCATTTTCAATGAAAATTTCCACAATTTCCTCAATGGGTTCGTCGTCGGTTCCTATCGCCTATCATGTGTGTGTAATATGATCGTGAAACCCTGCAACTTCTTTGATGGGATGGAGAGGGAGAAAAGTCGAGGCGCCTCGAACACTTATGAGTGTTCAAGATGTCGTAGACCCGAATTAGGATAAGATCCAGATAAGCCGAGCGTTTTGATTTTGCTGCATTGGAAACTCGTTAATAGGAATTTGGTTAATCCATTGATAGCGACTGGTTTTCCATTGAATAGCGGGGAAGAAAGCTTATCTTTCTTGGAAATTAATATGACAAATTGGAAGCCTACCGTTTACTCTTTTAATTTATTTATAAGAACGATGTGATAACAAGTCATATTAGAAGGTTACATCTTAAGAATGTTAAGCCTTTACAATTTTATTCCAATACAGTTTTTTTAACACTTTAAGATTAATATTGAGTATTTGTTATTTAACGATATAATATCCAGTATATATAATTGTTGTAACTACATTTTTATGAACGGAGAACTCATCATTTCTAACATTTTATATTTAATTTATATTGCTTACCATATTTTCCATATGTATACATTTTCTGTATTGTATCTGTCGTTCTTATTTTAGAGATTGCCCATCTTACAGCAGTTTTAATCTAATTTACACATGAATAATTTAATATTCATTCCGTAATTAATCAAGCCCTTGTTGAGCCACTGGCATTGTCTTTTTCGCCTTTTAGTGTTGATTGTGGAACCTCCTTTTCCCACAAAACACTTTTCATTCATTTTCATGCTCATTCACAAAACATGAGAAAAAAGAAAAACAAACATTGGAATCAAGAGAGGGGTCCGATCCGGAGAGTTTGAAAATTATTGAGCGAGAGTTAATGTTCGTATATTCTCAGTTCAGCTGAGAACGGTGGCCGACCAATCACAAAACCATTTCCCCTTTTTTAAAAACCCGAACACACTGCATTTTGTGAATATTTTTTCGATTTATTGGAGAGTTTTTGGGAGAGCAACTTACAAAGCCGGGTCTACAAAGGTGAATATTTGTGGATCGTGGTGGGTTCAGGGGAAGTTTGGGTGCCCATTCACCAATGTCTACGGATGGGATTTTGTGGATTGGATGTTGTGGAAGGTGGTATGCAAGTTGGATTTCATTTGCTTGCAAAAAATGGGAGTTCAGTCTTAAAGGAGAAACTTTGTGGATGTTAGGAAACACAGGACTTGGTTCCTATCGCAAGATGTTGTCCTTAGATATACCAAAAAGGGTTCCTAAAACAAAAGTATCCTATATCCTGTCACTTTAAGAATTCTGGTATTACGGATTCTGGGTTATATGAATTCCAAGTTCAAAAGTTATTTTCCCCATCAATTTCGACATCGTTCACCATGTTCCAACTTCCCACTTAACTTGGGTTCTTCAAGTGTGGATGTTCTACACATATTGTGGATTCTCCACTCTTACATTTCCCCTCCCAAGAAGACCCACGGTTTAAATTCACATACTCATTCTTGTTTTTAAGTTCCATAGAAATCAAATCGAAACCAAAAATTCCTCCAAAACTATTTGTAGAAACGGAGTGATTTTAAAAAACTCCCCATTTCCCGTGGTGGATTCTAAACTAACATTGTTGGGTATTCAACAAATGATTTCTCCCCTTAATTTTGGAGTCTTGTGCATTCTCACAGACCTCTCTACAAAACCCTTTTCAATACTCTACAAAATTCCGGTTTCAAGTAGTGGTCGCAATCCCAATATCCACATGGGAGACTCTCGAGTGGCACTTTCCCCAGCCTCTCTCTCGCGCTTTCTCTGTCTCTCCAACCACCTTTCTCTCTCCAGCCGACGAAACCCGAGAGCGAAGACTCCGCCTATCGGCGCTCTTCGGATCGGGCATTACCTATATCCCACGTTCGGGGGGTATAAAAGCGGGCGCTCTGAGCGAGAACCACTCATTCGTGTGCCGACCGTTCGCTGAAAAAGATATAGAAATCGAAAACGCAAACGCAGAAAAACACGCTGGATTAAAGTGTTTCGTTTCGAACTTCGACAGAGTGAGCAAATATAAAGTGAAGTGAGCGCGCAAAGCCAAATAACTCGCAGAGAAAGCAACCCAAAATCGAAAATAAACGCAAAGCAGGCCACACCCGAGAACCTCTAGTAACCCTCGCAAGTAATCCGGTACGACCGTGTAATAACCGCCAAGATTCTACTCAAGGAGCGTAAAGCGATCATCTCGAGAATGAAGTCCCTGACGGCCGTTTGCCAGACAGGTGCCTCCGGAATGCCGGCCCTGAATGCCAGCGGGCGCATCTCGCGCCACCCCACGCACCGCGGCGACGGCGAGAACGCCGAGATGAAGATGTATCTGTCCAAGCTGAAGGACCTCGTGCCCTTCATGCCCAAGAACCGGAAGCTGACCAAGCTGGAGATCATCCAGCACGTCATCGACTACATATGCGACCTGCAGACGGAGCTGGAGACGCATCCGGAGATGGGCAACTTCGATGCGGCGGCCGCTCTCACGGCGGTGAACGGACTCCACGAGGACGAGGACAGCGACATGGAGGACGCGGATGTGGAGGCGGCAGCAGCGGCGGAAACGGAAACGGAAGTGGACCCCGACGTCCTCGCCCAGCGCCTGGCCGCCGAACAGCCGGCGAAAGTCTCTAGTCCCGCCGCCCGCCTCCCGCTCGCCGACCGCCAAACGCCCAACACGCTCGTGGCGCCCGCCCATCCGCAGCAGCAGCAGCAGCAACTGCAGCAGCAGCAACTGCAGTCACAGCAGCAACTGTCCAACAGTTTAGCAACGGTGAGTTTACCAGCAAATTTAAATTGCTAAAGCGCTGAAATAGGAAGTGGGCAGATGAGCACAGCTGAGGTTGAAATACTAGAAAGAAAGTACAAGCCCTAGAAAGAAAGAACAGGGCCCAAAGAAGCTTACATGTTACAAGTATTTTAAGGGAATTAACAGATAGGGTCATACATTATTTTTCTATTTTGAAATCCAAGAAATATATTCAACACCAACTTAAAAAAATATAGAAGAATAGATTTGAAACCATCTCTATAAAGATAATCCGTTTTAAATTTATATAATGATTTATTAATGTAAAATCTTATGATGTAAAAATAACTATGGATGTTACGTTTTATGAGTTTTAAAAACCCCAGGCAATAAACCAAAGATCAGGATACCCATATTAGAAACCCCTTTACGACCGCAGTTTTTTGGGGGTTTTGTTGAGCGCCATTATTTTGACCGCAGCTGTTTGACATTTGCATTGCAAATGTAGGAGACAATTGAGTGTCAAAGTGTTTGGTTTTACTTGTTTTTGTTTCGCGAGTGACCTCATTCATAAGCCGATTGACAAATGTTTGAGTGAATTTTTTGTGTTTTTCTGAGGACGATGCCCATTTCTCTGGCGGATCTTGGGAAATTTCTTTACTGGGCTTTCGACAACAATAAATCTGCGCCGACCTTCCCCGATACACCCTACCCTGCACCCCACATCCTCGCCCGAAAAATTCGTTTCGTTTTTATAGACATTTCACAGACTGTCTCTGTAAGATTGTATGGGTTCTGCGGTTGTTGTCGCCATCGTTTTCTTTCTTTTGTGTGTTGCCTATACATACGTAGCTGTTAATTTTTTTTCTCGCGGCCTTTTTCTGTTGTTGTGATGTTTTAAATGAACACCTGCAGATACTTAAATTTATTTCACATACATACACACACGCACATGCGAGCTTGAAAACGGAATTTGAAATTGGGGAATCATCAGTCTTCGTATTTTTATTTTACTTCGTCTTTTTGGCTTACTTCATTAGCGCTTGGCTTCTTTCTTCTTCTTTTTGGGTTATTAATGATGCTGGCAAAAAAAATTTGTTTAAGACCTGCGTAAAAACAGGTTCAAAAAGCTTTTTTCCAATGGGTTTTTCGAACAAATGTGCGACTGGGTGGCCCCGACAAGTGTTATTAATTTTTTATCGGCGATTGTTGATTAATTAGGGAGGTGGAAAGCCCTTCACTCAATTCACAGAGGTGGGTTTCGAACTCGTGCGCAAATTTTGCAGTGGGGCTTGAACCCGTACACTGCGTAGGTCTCTTTTTATTGGGTGCGTAAGTTTTTTATTTTTTGTGGCAAAACATCTGCAACCCACAAACATATATATTTTTTCTGTTTGTATGATGTGTCACCTCCGCAACAACAACAAATACAAATACAAATACAAATACAATCTGAGAATTCTTTCGAAAACACGCACACACACCCAGGAGATCACATGGGGGCACTCAGAAAACTGTAAAAAGAAATGCACGTGTTCAAAATGTTCTCTCTGTGGGTTGTTTTCAGTTGTTTTTGCTGTTTCTTTTTTTCGATTTTTTTTTATTTTCGCGCAGCTGTGCGCCAGTCGCCAGTCGGTCGCTTTCTACATTGTATTCCCCCCACGGATCCTGCCCCTTCCAATACCCGCCCCCTCGCAGTAAGAGTACGAAGAAGAGGGGCAGAGAGCGTGGGACACTGGGGAAAAACTACATATCTTCTGGATCTAGAATATCTTCAACTGGGTATCACTTTATATCTCAATAACAGAAGCTCTGAGTTAGGAACTCAGTTTAATGATATATCGCTTGAGTGTAATATATTTTGATCATATCTAGTCAGAATTGTCATACACAGTTCTTAACTATTAAAATAGATTTATATATCTTTTTATTTCCACCTATTCATCTCATATCCGATCCTAGAAACATTTTTCTCAGTGCTTAAGAACTCAAACAAGTGCAATACAAAACCCCAGTGACAGCTCGTTTGATTTTCTTGGCGCCTCTTTATTGCCTCATCCCCTCGACTCATCGACATCATCTTCTCATCGAGTGTCCCAAACAAAAAGTAGAAACACAATCAGTAAGACTGAGAATTAATTGATAACATAGAATGGCGAAATAAACACAGCTAATAAACAAATTATTGTACTTCTATCACCCATAAATATGAATATAAATGTGAATACTAATTGGAATTTCCCCGCTTCTCTCTTTTTAGCCACTGAACGCGGAGAAAGACAGCAGGCAGTCGTAAGCGCGGAAAACGTCCAGCCGGGAAACCCCACAAAACCTATAAACTTATTAACTAAATGCATAATTAAAGTACAGTCAAAACTCCACTCGCAACCTTCGTGTGAAGATCTCCGCATATTAAATAACGTGTGAAACTCTCAAGAAAACCGCAGCCCAGGCGCATCTCTTCAAGTCCCTTTTCCCGGGCATGAAAATGAAAATCCGGGAAAATGGGATCTCGCTTGGCTCAACAGAGTTTAGATTAAACATTTATAAACACAACAACACAAAAACCTAGCATTAGAGCATCGTAAGCAAGTAAACATTATGATTATTAATTAAACATTAAACACTAGGATGGCGCTTAAGAATGAATGGAAGAAGAGAACTTGGCAAAGCTTTAAACAATTTAATTTTTCCTTTAACGCTTGAAATTACACTAAAGCATATATTTTTGTTTTCCTAATTTTAGTTTTGTTTTGGTTTAAACAACGCAAGAAAAAATGTTACTAATGCAAAGCAAACAGAGATCAGCAATAAATAAAATGAAATGCACAGGCAACAAAACCGGAATTACGTTCAATCGTCGAATTCTGTATTATGATTATATGATTTCTATCCAAATGATTTTCCTATTAATTTTAATCAATGAAGAATTTTCCTATTATTGATTAGCCACAGCCAATAAATAACAAGAACAACCAACTCAGCAGCACACACATTCAAATTCATTAATTTATATCGCGAGTACGTTTAGTGTTAAGTTCGAGAAAGTTAATTTTCGGGCACTAATTTTCACTCACACATAAAGTAAACAAAAACACACACACCTCATTTTGTAGTTTTCCGAGTCCCTTGGATCGTTTTCCTCTTTTTGTAATCGAATTAACGTATAATGCATAATAATACACTAAACCTATAAATATACATTAATATATGTTCTGTGATCTGTAGCATACTTTGTACAAAGTGTTTTTTTTAGCATAATTATGCGATTTTTAATTATGATTTGATCCGCAATCGAAATTACAAACTTTTGTTCCCATTTCGATGGTATAAACTCTATCATGATGTAAAAGAAAAGAAAACATTTGATGATGATGCGAAAAAATATATATCTAAAAAGAAGAAAAACAAACATTAGCTCTTAATAAATTGCAAAAATTAAAAAATATTAAAAATCAATTACGACAATGGATTTTCCTTGGGAAGGGGATTACGAAACTGCCAGAAACTACCGGAGAAATCGGTAACTACCTGAAGACAAGTAGCTGGAAAACCATTTCCCATGTAAACAAGTGCAACGAATTACCAGAACAATGAGGTGGATGATAATGCCGTACCATTCCATACCGGAGTTCCATGGGCGAGCGAGTTTTCTCACGCAGCCGCCGCCTTTGTCATTAGGGTTCGGTTTTCCCATTTTCCCAGGTAAAATGGTCCTTAGGGCCCCTTGGAAAACTCGACCTGCACACGTGTGCGAATTGCGGACGGAAAATTTCCGTTGAGAAAAGTTTCCTTCACTTCGGCCTGCCTGTTTTTCCATTTATTTTGTTTTCTGACCACTTGGGTGTGGATTTAGTTTTGGATTTTGGGTATTTTTTGCTTCGCCCGCAGCTGTCTGCCCTCCCACTCCCACAGCCCACTCTCTCCCTCTCTTTCCCACTATCTACTGGCCTATTAGCGTTAATGATTGCAACTACAATGCACTGACCAATTGGCAATTGCGACTATAGTCTCGGGTTTGTTTCGAGATCGGAGCTCGGAGCTCGGAGCTCGGAACTCGGGGCACTCGGTGCCAGCCGCCCCATTCAAATGTCAATTCGGATCGGACCCCAGCGGAAAGCCAGGGAAACACTTTAAACAGCTACGGGGCGCTTTTCCTCGGAGGCCCCAATCTGGGATGCCCTAAAATTCAGGGAGATATTTGACTTGAATAAAATAAACGAAATCAGGCTGAGAAAGATATCTATATTATGCTTTAGTACATCTGTTGAAATAAATATTTTAAGACCTGCTACATTTTTGAAATTTCTCAGTTGACAGATCTCTGCTGAAATACAATTTATTACATTACTTCGCATTAATTGAGCAATTACTTAATCGTACAAAGCTCCCCATTCCATTACCACCAAGCGGCATTACTATTTTCTTGTTAGGGTATGCACTGCCGCTTTAAATAAAATCCCAGGCCAATGGAAAATAATAGGATAAGAAAAAAACAACGCCGGGGCTCACTTGCATTGTCTATGGGGGACATTCATTGTGCACTGGAAAAAGTAAGTTCACTTTCTGAAAATAAATATCTTATAGATATTCTTATATTTTTTTATTGCTTATAAAATCTCTCTAAAAACAGTTCGCTTGGAATCAATTTGGAACCGGGAATATTGAGTCCTAAAATAAATATAATGTGAACTCCCATTTTTTAATGTACATATTAGTAAGGTCTCTCCTCATATCGTGTTTTTCTCTCTGTAGCAGTGCGTTTTATTCGACGTCGCCCGTTCTGGGGCCAACGATCTCCGATTCCGAACCAAACTCTGGTATGCGCTAATTGTTTGCAGAGCTTTGGGGTCTGCGATTTGAGCCATTGGCCAGGTACAATTAGTGCGCTCACCTTAGTCGCTGTTTCTCGGGCCCGCGACTCGGGTTTTCTCCCATGTAATGATTTTTTGGGTGCGACTGCGCTGAGACGAGAAATCAGTGAAACTTGAATTACCATAAAAACTCGTGTAGCAGTCAACAGCTGCGGCAACTGCGCGATTGCGAATGCCGTCGCCTCGGCTCAGCGCAGCCTTCCAATGGCCGTGCCGGAAAATTTTGACATAATAATTGTCAAGCTGACATTTCCAACCACGCAGCTGACAGCTGAGCCCGAACCAGCCGGGCTCCCGAGTGTTAAACGAAGCTAGTCGAACTCCCAGCTTAACCCCTGAGCTCCCAGGGGGATTAAGGAAAGGATTAAGGAATTTATCTGATCATATCTGAGAGTAGTTTTGGGGTCTTTGACTTTCCAAAGTCTTTCATTAAAAACTCCCTTTCAACTTTAGCGAATTTGGGATTTCTAGAATTTGTTGATGAGTTGTCTGGAAAGTCCATAACGTATACTGATGAAAGCACGTTTAAAAAAGATTTCGTAAATAAGTAAGCATCAAAAATGGATATTATTTTAAAACCTTCGATATTTTGTTATGTGCATTGACCATTTTTAGAAGTAGGTACTCAAGAGCTGAGTGTGTTAGCCTATTGATTTTGGGTGCTTAAAATACCTAGCTAATAAGGTTTTTCAATTCCTGAGCACGTTCGGTAAATATTGACAAATTGTTTGGTTTTTGTAATGATTACTTGTGTTTAAAGCCGAAGGCTTTTTAGATTATTGTCGTGTTTGTAAATTAAAAGTCTAGGCAATATTGTATAGTGCTACACGGCTTTTAACACATGTGTCAGCAAGCAGACTTGTTATCGTTTATTGTTCACTTTTATTGTCTAATTAAATTACTGATTTTTCTAGGGTTAATTGCCTTTTTTCCCGCCCCAAGTGAGGTCTCCGAAATGAAAGCTAAACCGCAATCAACAGCGCCGGCGACTTTGGCGAGGTGCGCATAAAAATCGCATTTAATTGTGATTTTCACACGAAATACAATGCGCATGCGCAACTGGCGCCGCTGGTTAAAAGCGTGGGCTGAGGAGGGGGCGTTTCATAGAGGGGTCGGGGGCGGTAATACTTGATGGCAATTTGTGTAACTAGCGGTAAAGCGTAACTACTAAACAGTCCGCGACCGCTGTTGTTGTTGTAGTGGTGGTGGCTTTGGGAAACACCTGCAAAACGCAAAACGCACCTGTTTCGCTAAACAACAAAAACCGGCAAACGAAAACTAAAACAAAGTCAAGACACCAACGCCATACAAATTCGTATTGAAATATATATATAAAAGCAACGCGGACACGGCTCAGCAACTTTTCCATGGGTTAAGCTGCAAAAGGTGGGCCAACAAGGGGTTAAGGGGAACTAAAAACCAACTGACTTTTGTGTAATTGAAGCGGCCATCTGTCTTTGCGGCGAAAAGCGGGGGAAAAGCGGAAAAACTGGGTGAGAGTTCCACGCGAATTAGGAAATCGAAACCGAGTCGATGTTGGGGTTCCAAAGTGTGCAGTACTGGGAAACATATGTAAGCGCACAGTTGTGGGGAAATTGGTAGCAATGTTCTTGAAAATGATATACTGGGTTAAATGGAGAGATTACCCCTATTGGGTCATTATAGATTCCAAAGCTTTTGTGTTTTATTTATCTTTGGTTATAAGAGTAAAAATTAGTATCTAATTTATTTTTGAATAATTTAGTAATTAGGCATTCTCCATTTCCCTATATTTACATTTACTTACATTTACTCAAGATCTTATGTCGTTGGTAAGAACATTAAATATTTAGGTAGTCTAGAGATCTACTAGTCCTAGAAATAATCTAATATAATGATTTGTATTTTATTCAAATATATTTCAATGATGTTCTTACGGCGATGTTATCATTTCTTAAATAATAACAATTTTAATTAATTAATATTTTTAAATAACACTTTTTATTTATGTTTCCATCAGGATTAGTGTTCCGTGTTTAGTGCTCCTAATGATTTCCCCTCGTTTGTTTGGTCGGCTTTCGAGTCAGGTGCTCGAATCGGAAGCTCAAGCTGCGACCATCTACCACCGGAGTCGAACTCCATCAGCTGGCGGAAGTTGGCCAGAAAGGCGGACGGCAGCTGAGGATCGGGATTGGTTCAAAGTGGAAATTGGGAATGGGAATGGGAGTCGGAGTCGGAGTCCAGGGCCTGGACAGCATTGATTTCAGCTGCGTCACCCAGCCATTGTGGCTTTGTCATGGGTGGTGGTGCTCGAAGGTGGTGCAGAAAAGGGGTGGTGCTGCTGCTGCCGTGGTTCAGTGGCGGCCACATGTTGGCCTAATGACAGCTCTGAGTGGTAAGACTCAGTCGCGGTTTTTGGCTTTTCGACCAACAATGGCGATGACAATGTCGAGAGGTGCGGCTGCCGCAGTTGCAACTTCGGCTGCTGCTGCAGTTGCAGTTGCAACTTCTGTGGCCGCCTGACATTTGATCGAAAGACAAGGGGTCAGAGTCGCAGCAACCCACCGCCACCGATGACGAACTGCGGCGAGTGTCAAGCCGTAAATTAAATAAAATTATGCACAAAGCCTTATCGCCAATTGAATTGTTGCTATTCAATTTTTTGCCTCTGCCCCGAGGCTCTGACTAATGCGCCACCCGAGTTGCCGACGAGATTGATATGCGATGGGGAACACGGCAACGCTTAGCGGGAGCAGCAACAGCAACTTGCAACTTGCAGCAGCAGCAATATCAAAGACCACCAGCAGCAGCTGCAAGCTAATAAAAATCGAAGCGCTTTGCTGAAGTTGTACCATAAATACTCTACAGTTTTGGTAAGGTCTTTATTATAACTTGATAACTTATAGGAATTTTAAAATGTGCTGTTCTGCAGGGCACTTATAAATATGTAAAAGGTGTTTAAAAGACAGTCTCAGGATTCTGGAGTTCTCAATAATTTCATCATATATTATTCTGTAGCTAGTTCCTGGAGATACACTATGGTATGGATATACCTCAAAACGTATTTCAAGAGCCAATCGTCTTAGTACCAATACTATATCTTTTACTTTCCTTGTTCTTCAAAGTCCCATAAGTAACGCCTCAATTCCGTAAGCTTCTGATACCACTAACTATACCCCGTAACAGCGAATAACAAGAGCCGAAAATCCGACATTGATAAATGCCATCCCACGCCTTGGCTGTGTTTTGGGCAAATAAAAAATCGCAAATAAATACTGACCGGGCTCCTGCCGTTGCAGTTGGTTATTTCATTCATTTTCATTTCGTTTTGCTAATTGATTCATTGATCTTGGCGATATCGCTCCCCGGTGCTTAGAGCTTAGCCCCCATATATCCCCCGATCCTGCTGCAGAT